GGTAATCAACTTGTATGTCTCATGTTTGTATGTGCGTCTGTTTTTTGTTTATGGGCGTGTATACGTGTGCGTGCGTGTCAAGTCTTGCCAGTTTCTCGACTAATCGGATCTCGTATTACCAATCTTATCTCGCCAATTTCATCTTTCATTTTATCGTCAGTTGTATCTAACCAATCTCGTCTCACCAATCTTATCTTACTTATCTCACCTCACCAATCTAATTTTACTCTCATATCAATCTTATCTTGCTTATCTCATCCCATCAATCTTATCTCACGAATCTCATCTAACCAATCTCGCATCACATATCTCATCTAACCAATCTCGCATCACATATCTCATCTAACCAATCTTACTTTACTTATCTCACACCAATCTTCTCGCTAATCTTACATCACCTATCTCATCTAATCAATCTTCTCACTAATCTCCTCTGACTTATCTGACCTCACCGATCCTCTCACTAATCTCATTTCGCGAGAAGTCCCCCAGCCCCCCCCCCACCCCACACACACACACACTGCAAAACAAGATCCTACCACCTTGACTCCCACACCTGCCCCCTGACAGCCAATTCGGCCGTTAGCTTGCCTGTAGCTTGCTCGCATAGTCGGGATCCCCAGTGACTCATGTTATTCTGCATGGCTTTTGCTTCGATTGGGGGGGGGGGGGGGCCAGGGAGGTTCTTCGCTGAGATTACTCCTTTTGTAAACTTTTGAAAGAAAATATTTGTGTTCGGTTCAGGTTGGTTGAGGTTGTGGGAGTAGCGAAGTGGTCTTGGTGGTTATTTTTTTGAGGATTCCTGTCGGTCGGGAAAATATTTTGTGAAGCGGTTGTCTTTCTTTGGGTGTCTGCAAAGAAGGTGGAGGGGGGAAAGCTACTGTAGTTATTTCTGCTTGTAGGTTCCTTCGTTTTCTCTTTTTGTCTTGATTCTGTCTGTTTTATCTCAATTTCTACTTCTCTCTCCCTCCCTCCCTCCTCTCTCTCTCCCTCTCAATTCTCTCTCTCTCCTCCCTCCCTCCTCTCTCTCTCCATCCCTCCCCTCATTCTCTCTCTCTCCCTCCCTCCCCCTCCCTCTCTCTCATTCTTCTCTCTCCCTCCCTCCCCTCATCTCTCTCTCTCCCTCCCTCCTCATTCTCTCTTCTCTCCCTCCCTCCCCCTCATTCTCGTCTCTCCCTCCCCCTCATTCTCTCTCCTCCCTCCCCCTCATCTCTCTCTCTCTCCCTCCCTCCCCCATCATTCTCTCTCTCTCCTCCCTCATTCTCTCTTCTCTCCTTCCCTCATTCTCTCTCTCTCCTCCCCCTCCCCAGTCCCCTCATTCTCTCTCTCTCCCTCCCTCCCTCCTCCTCTCATTCCTCTCTCTCTCCCCCTCCCCCCCTCATTCTCTTCTCTCCCTCCCTCCCCTCCCCTCATTCTCTCTCTCTCCCTCCCTCCCCCTCATTCTCTCTCTCTCCCTCCACTCTCTCTCTCCCTCCTCCCTCACCCTCTCCCTCATTCTCTCTCTCTCCCCTCCCCTCCCCTCATTCTCTCTCTCTCCTCCTCCCCTCATTCTTCTCTCTCCCTCCCTCATCCTCTCTCATTTCTCTCTCTCTCCCTCCCTCCCCCTCATTCTCTCTCTCTCTCCCTTCCTCTCCCTCTCTCTCTCTCATCTCCCTCCCCTCATTCTCTCTCTCTCCCTCCCCCCTCATCTCTCTCTCATTCTCTCTCTCCTCCCTCCCCCTCATTTCTCTCTCTCCCTCCCTCCTCCCTCATTCTCTCTCTCCTCCCTCCCCCTCATTCTCTCTCTCCCTCCCTCCCCCTCATTCTCTTCTCTCTCCCTCCCCTCATTCTCTTCTCTCCCTCCCCCCTCTCTCTCCCTCCTCCCCCTCATTCTCTCTCTCCTCCCTCCCCCTCATTCTCCTCCTCCTTCCCCCTCATTCAAGTCTCCCTCTTCCCTCCCTCCCCCTCATTCTCTCTCCCTCCTCCCCTCATTCTCTATCTCTCCCTCCCTCCCCCTCATTCTCTTTTCCTCTCCTCCTTCCCCCTCATTCTCTCTCTCTCCTTCTCTCTCAATTCCCCTCCTCTCCTCTTCCCTTCTCTCTCTTCCTCTCCCTCTCTCCTCTCCCTCCCTCCTCATCCTCTCATTCTCTTTCTCATCCCCTTGCCCTTCTCTCCTGAAACGTGATAGACGAGTGACCTTAATCAAGCTTAAGCCAGTCATTTATTCCTCTCTAGGCGAAGTAGCCGTTAGGGTCACGACCTCCTATTAAATTTTGGAGGCTCAGGTCGTTCGTTACACATGTTTGAAGGCGCTGGAGGTCTTGTCTCGTTGGAACTGGGGTGTTGGATGGACGGGTGGGTGTAAGCGAGATATGGAAAAAAATGGAAGCGTGTATGATTCATGTGATGGATGGATGAAAAGGGAGAAAAATAAAGAAAAATGGAGTAATAAAACAATAACAGAAATAAAGACTAAGTGAAGGGATAGTGAGAGTGAGACACACAAACACACACGCATACACGTACGTTTTGCGTGTATGTATGTTTGTATATATATATATATATATATATATATATATATATATAATATATAAAAAATTACCTAGAAAGTCCATTTTGAGCAAGTTTGTTCCAAACGCTCGCCGGAAGCACCACTTAGCAATATTAGGCACACGCTTATTAGCCTGAACTTGGGTGGTGAAGCCAGGGGAGGTGGAGACTAGACAGTTTTTTTCTTTTCTTTTCTTTTCTTTATGGAAGGCGAGACTTAAATTGAAATTGATACGGGGAGATCACTTCTAAAATTGTTGGGGATAGCTCATTTTTATTGAACTTTTGTTAGGGATGGCTAATTATTATTTAACTGTTGACTTGCGATTAAGGTATCGTTTATTGCTACTGTTATTACTGTCAAAGTAATCGTATCATTACTGGTTATTTTTGCTATATAATTTTTTGCTTTTATATCTTTATTGTAATTACTTGTTTGTGCTAATTTCGGATGTTATTACTGTTATTGTGGTTATTATTTTCAGTATTTTTACTTTGATAATTATTTTTTTCCTACCTATAATAATCATGATCAACAAGTATTATTATTGGTTATTACCGTTAATCAATATTTGTATTTTCATCATGATTAGTATTATAATTACCCATGACAATTGTCACCAGCAGTATTACCATCACTATCATCATCGTATTTTCTCCCTCTTCCTTTCTCCTCTATCTGTCTATCTATCTCCTCCCTTTCCCTCTCCCTCCTTCCTTTCGTCTCCCTCTCTCCGTTTTCTTCTCCCTCTCTCCCTCCTCTCTCGTTTTCTTCTCCCTCTCTCCGTTTTCTTTCCTTCTCCTCCCTCTCTCTCTCCGTTTTCTTCTCCCTATCTACTTTCACCGCTCTCCCCCACCCTCCACTCTTTCCAGTTCTTTCATCGTTGTAAATCAGTGTGATAGCGTTCGTCACAACTCACTGGGGTGATTAACGTCAGTAATTTTATGGATCCGTGGGGATGGATATGCTAATGTCGTGTGCAATTAAGCCGGTTGTTGATTTGGAAACAGCAACGGGGATTTTGTGATATTTTAAAAGAGGGGATTTTTTTTTTTTTTTTTTTCAATGGGGGAGGTGTTGTGTTTTATATGTGACGGATGGAGAGGCTAGATTTGTGTTGTGTGTGATTTTTTTGGTGATTGTTTTGTGTGGATAATGATTAGAGGTGATCATCGTTATTGTATCCATCGGTATTATTGCAACTTTATATGTCTAGTTATTTATCTATCTATTCGTGCATCTGCATAGATTTATCTCATTTTCTGTCTCTATTTCTATATTTCTGTATCTCCATCTGTATCTATTTCTACATCTCTCTTGTTACCTTTCTCGTCCTCATTTTGCTTTAAAGGTCGCACGATAAGAAGAAAAAAATATCAAGCGAAAAAAAGGGTAATCCTATCTACAAACGTACCGTGATTACTAATGAATTCTTTTAATGATTTCAAAGGAATTGTCGTAATTGGTAATTCTGTCAAAGGAATGATTAAGATTAGCGATTAAGGGATACTTCTTGATCCTCTTGAACTTTAGCCTTCAATCCTTCAATTCCTCTCATGGGAAGGAGGGAGAAGAAGAGAGAGGAGGGGAGGGGAAAAGAAGGGGGGGAGAGGGACAGACAGACAAAGAGAGAGAGAGCGCGGGAACGAGAAGAGAGAGAAGAAACAGAGGGGAGAGAAAGAGAGAGGATGCGTTTATCCATCAAGGGATGCTGCTATCATGGGGATTCTGTTTTCACATAATTTTCGCCCATTGTATTTACTAGGTATCGACTTGTTCTTTCTAATGAAGTGTGTTATATACAAGAGATGATTCTTTCTCTCTCTCTCTCTCTCTCTCTCTCTCTCTCTATATATATATATTATATATATATATATATATATATATATATATATATATATATTGTGCGACAGGGAGTTCAGTATCATACACCAACGCATGGTCAGTTTAAATAGGGACTTTTGTTTATGATCTGATAAGTTGAATAAGACTAGTTTATTGAACACATATAAACGCTTTTTTTTTCCTCTTCTTCTTCTACTTTATCTACTTTTTACTCCTCCTCCTCAACATCATCTTCATTTAATTTTACTACATCCCATTTTCATCCTCATCCTCTATTTCCATCTTTACCTCTTCCTCATCCTTTAATGCAACCACCACTCCTCTTCATTCCGACTTTATCCTCTTCTTTCCCTTTATCCCACTTCCTTAACATTATCATCCAATGCCACCCACCTCCTCCAATTACACATCCTCAATCCACCCTACCATCCTAATTCCTCACTCCTTATCCTCCAACACCCACCTCCCCACTCTACCTCACCCCCCCTCCTCTACCTCTAACACCCCCCACACCTCTACCTCCAACCCCACCATCCACCTTCAACCCCCCACATCACCTCAACACCCCCCCCCCACCTACCAACGCACATCTCACGCCCCCTTCTCTCTCTCCTCCCACAGGTCCGGCGACAACTCCCCCGGCGGCCCCCCCTCTGGAGCCTCGGAAGGGGGGGAGGGCGAGCGTCCGAGGGTCAGCCTGGCGAACAAACCCTCCGCCACCGCCTTCTTCAACACACTGCGCGTAAGTTGGCGTTGATTTGGGGGGGTTAGTTCTCTGTGTGTGGATGTGGGTGTTTTTTTCTTCCTTTCTGTGTGGATGGGGGGTTTCTCTCTTTTTTTTTTTTTTTTTTTTTTCTTTTGGTTTTTTTTTTTTTTTTTTTTTTTTTTTTTTTGGTTTGTTTGTTCTCTTCTTTCTCTTATCTCACTCCTGTTCTCTCTATCGCTCTCTCTCTCTCTGAGTGAAAGAGAGGGGAAAGAGAAAGCGGTTTTTTGTTATTATTCAGTTAATGACTTTGTTAATTTTTATTATGATTATTACAATTACTGTTATTTATATTATTATTATTATTATTAATGTTTTTGTTATTAGTATTAATGTTATTGTTATTCTTTTTTATTATTATTTTATCATTATTATTATAGTAGTCATCAATATCACTATTATCAATGTATTATTCTTACAGGTTTAAAGATGGATGGATGTAGATATAGATTGAGTATGTAAATTTATATTTACCTATATCTATCCATCCATCTATCAGTATAGATATACACACAGATCCAATATGTAAAGAAGTTGATACGAATTTACTAGAAGTAGACATAGTGATATATATGTCTCCGTTTTAATAATTTCACTGATGGAGTTTTAATTTTATATATTGAAAGCAAATCAAACGTGAAAAATGTGGATGCGGATAAATGGTTCTTGAAGATACGTCAGTTGCAGTAGAAGCATCAAAGGAAAATTTATTTAACGAATGCATTTCACCGCGAAGCCTCAAGATGTGGCAAGAGAAAAAAAAAGGTTTTAAAAAGAAAGGGAGGAAGGAAGAAAGAGAGTTTCTTGGTTATATCATAGTTTCTTTTCTGTTTTAGCAGGTAGTTTATTGTACTTTTTTTTTCGTTTGTGAATATGGATATAGTGCATATATATAGGTGTGATTTATTGAATTTATTGTTATTTGAGAATTTGACAACTCATTTTTCCTTTCAATTACCTTTTTTCTCTCCTTTTCATTTGCCTATGTTATTATATTTATTTATTTTTTCCCCTTTTATTTTATTTTCTCCATATTCATGCAATTTGATCTTTCTTTACGGTTTTCAACTGTACTACACGACCTACTAAAATGAGCGGGCAGCTAAGAGCTAATTCCATAGAGTATTGGGCTAGTTAGGAGCGTGTAGGGAAAGAGGTGAGAAAAAAGAAAGAGGATAGGGAAGGACGAGGAAGAGAAAAGGGAATAAATTAAAGGATGAAGAGAGAGAACCAAATAATAAAAAAAAAAAATCTAGCAGACAGAGGATAAATGAGATAAAAAAGAAAATATATTTTAAAATGTTGACAGAAAGATGGTTTTTGAAGAGAGGCAAACGGAAATGGCCTTTATTGAGTCGGATCGGAAATTTGGTGTATGTATCGGTGAAAGCTTATTAAATTCCTGGATGTCATTTTTTTCTAATAACGTTTTGTCTCTTGCTTTGTTTATTATAAATTTTCTTCATGTTTGATTTTTTTCTCTACCTCTCTTTACGTCTCCCTTTTCTTTGTTTTTTTCGTTATTTTGCTTGTTTTCCCGTCTTTTTTTTTTACTGAGCCTTTTTAGTCATTCTAGTTTCGGTATTCCGTTTGTTAGCCTTCTTTTATTTATTTTTCTTTAACTGTGCCCTTCTACAATATAATTTTTTGTCCTTTGATCTATTTTTTCCTCTCTCTCTGTCTCGTTTTATAATGTTTATTTATGCATTCTTTCCTCTCTCTCTCTCCCTCTCTCCTCCCTTCCTCTTCTTCCTCTATCTTTTGCTCTCTCTCTTTCTTTCCCTCTTTCCCTCTCCTCTTCATCTCTCCCTCTCCCTTTCCTTCTCTCCATCTCTCTCTCTCTCTCCCTCTCCCTTTCTCTCCTCATCCATCCATTTTCCTCTCTAGAAATGAACAGAAAGAGGAAACGTGGCCTTAAAGAATAAATAAATATATAAATAAAAAAGCAGGACGACATTGCAATATATTGTTAGAAAAAATCGAACGGGAAAGGGTAGGCCTACACCAGAGAAATATTCGTCGTGGGAATGTGATGTATTTCCGTCGCAACATTTTCCTGTTTTGCTTAAAAAAGAGACGGAAAAAAACAATAAAAAGGATAATAGATGAATAGCTAGATAATAATACATCGGCGGAGGGAAGAACGAGAACTAAGAGGAAGAATAAGAACGAGATTGATAATTTTTTTAAAAGTTTAAAATAGTGAAAAGTAAAGCAATCGTGATTCCTCTGACAGAAGTTTTTTTTTATCCGAGAGCATAACTTCGTATGACATGTCAGGTTGGAAATCCTGGAATTGGGAAGAAATATTTTTTTTTTTTGCAGATTTTTGCATTGATGGATTCCTTGCGTAGGAGCAAAGGGGGTTAGCCTTTTTTGATATAGTAGGATAGATATAAGTCGATAGATTTTTTTTTTTTCATCGGAGAGTTTTGAAATTTCCTTATCCGCTGTTTCCTCTCTGTAATACCTCATCCTCTTCTCTCTCTCTCTCTCTCTCTCTCTCTCTCTCTCTCTCTCTCTCTCTCTCTCTCTCTCGTTCAAATTCTCTCTCCCGCTCTCTCTTATCTCATTCTCCCCTCTCCTCTCCTTCTCTCCTTCTCCCCTCTCTCTTCTCTCACATTCTCCCCTCTCCCTCTCTCACATTCTCCTCTCCTCTCCTTCTCTCATATTCTCCCCCTCTCCCTCTCCTCTCACATTTTCCCTCTCCCTCTCTCTCACACACATTCTCTCTAATTCCCCCCCTTCTCCCTCTCCTTTTCGTTATTTCAATTTGATCTGTGCTCCCCTTCCATCCATACAACTCTCATAATCTCATTTTTATTTGTCTCTCCCCTTTCTTCCGCCCTCTTTCACTCCCTTTCGTTCGCAGAGGTCAAAGGTCAAAGAATCCGTCGAGACACTGAGGTGCCACCGACCGCATGCTCCAGCTGGCACGATTAGGCACTCGTGCATGCTCTTTCTCTTTGTCTGTCAATTTTCTTCGTCAGTCTCAGTCTGACGGCCCTGTCTTTGAATTTCTTATTCTCTTTGCTCTTCGCTCTCTCTCTCTCTCTTTCCTTTCTATTTGTATTCTTTCTCCTTCTCTTTGACTTTTCCTCTTTTTATCTCTCTCCTCTCCCTTTCCCTTCCCCTCCCCCACCCCCACCCCACCCCTCCCCTCCCTCTTTGACTTCCCCACACCTTCCCACTCTTCCTTCCCTCCTTTCTCCTCTCATCTTCATCTGCCGTTTCTTTCCTTAAACTTTCCCCTCTTCCTCTTCTTCGCATCTCATGGCGAATCGTGATTATCAGACCGTACAATTAAGGCAAGTCGATCCGCTTATCTCAGGTCAACGCTCGCTAGCTTGACCTGCAGGTGTGTGTGTGTGTGCGTGTGCGTGTGTGTGTGCAGGCCTTTTGTCGGAGAGCAGTTGTGCGTGATGTCACAAGCAGGAGAAGCAGTGCTTGCATTGTCTGCTTTTTTTTTTTTTTTTTTTTTTGGTCAACGCTCGCTAGCTTGACCCCTGTGTGTGTGTGTGTGTGTGTGTGTGTGTGTGTGTGTGTGTGTGTGTGTGTGTGTGTGTGTGTGTGTGTGTGTGTGTGTGTTTATTTGTGCGTTTGTGAATGTCGATATAATATGTGTTTATTTGTGATTGTGTGTGTCTATTTGTGTACGCGCTCTTATATGTATTTATTTGTGCTTGTGGGTGTGTGTGTCGGAAGAAGAGGAAATAAAAAGTGAAAAGAAAAAATAGATAAGTAAATGAATAAATAAACAAGACAATAGTAGTAGTAGATGGTAGAAATGAAAAGGAAAAAATAAAGAGGGCATAAAAGATAGGAGAGAGGAAAGGGAATTTTGAATGATGAAACCAAAGGGAGAGAAAGAAAATTCTGCAAAAGATTAATATATTCATATAAAAGGGGAGGGAGGGGTTAAAAAGAAATGTTAAATGAATGGATGAATAAAGCAAAAGGGGAGAGAAGATTGATTATTTTGTTATTATTTCCTTCACATTCTCCCTACATTTTTTTTCATTCGTTTGAACTCTATGTAACTTACAAATAGGTAGGCAAATTGACTGACTGAGTGACTGACAGGTTAATTGATTGACTGAATGAATGAATGAGTGAGTGAATGGCTGGCTGAATGAATGAGTGAGTGAATTACTGACAAGTTAATTGAACAGGTTAATTGGTTGACTGCAGGTTAATTGGTTGACTGACAGGTTAATTGGTTGACTGACAGGTTAATTGGTTGACTTTAATTGTTGACTGACAGGATGACAGGTCTGTTAATTGACTGGCAGGTTAATTGAGTGACTGGCAGGTTAATTGAGTGACTGGCATGAGTGACTGACAGGTTAAGTGACTGACAGGTTAATTGAGTGACTGACAGGTTAATTGAGTGACTGACAGGTTAATTGAGTGACTGACAGGTTAATGAGTGACTGACAGGTTAATTGAGTGACTGAAGGTTAATTGAGTGACTGACAGGTTTAATTGAGTGACTGACTGACAGGTTAATTGAGTGACTGACAGTTAATTTGAGTGACTGACAGGTTAATTGAGTGACTGACAGGTTAATTGAGTGACTGACAGGTTAATTGAGTGATGAGTGACTGACAGGTTAATTGAGTGACTGACAGTTAATTGAGTTACTGAGGCTGACAGGAGTGACTGACAGGTTTTGAGTGAACTGGGTTAATTGAGACTGACTGACTGACTGGTTAATTGAGTTGACTGACTGAGAGTGTGACTGAATTGAGTGACTGACTGTTAATTGAGTGATTGAGTGGCTGACTGATGGTATTTGATTGACTGACTGGCTGATGATGATGATGAATGATGACTGGCTGGCTGAATGAATGAGTGACTGGCTGGCTGAATGAATGAGTGACTGGTGAGGAATGAATGATGACTGGCTGAGTGAATGAATGAATGAATGAGTGACTGACTGACTGGTTGAATGAATGAATGATGACTGGCTGGTGAAT